ACCTCCACTGAGGTCAAAACAAGGCTGATGACTTCTCAAATATTTTCCTGAATGGACACTGTCAGAAACCACAGGATCAAACTCTTGGCTCAACACTTTGAGCTCCAATGTGTTTATCTAAAACACTGACATCATGTACATACACCGAGCGAGCGGAATTTCTGCTAACAGCAGGAATATGCACAGAAACGCAATTACGTTTGGCACTGAGGCAGGACACAGAAACAGCTGCCTCCCTCACCCTCCTGTGGTATTTAGACCTTCATCTGGATGCCCTGCACATACCTCTTCTCCAACTACGTGACCTAAAACATTGAAAAACAGCTGACTGCCAGTACCAACCCAAACTCCATTAATATCACAACACACTCACCGAACTGACTAACCAGAAATACACTGGCAAAACAAAGTTCATCTTAACTATAACTTAGAATAATGACTATAATTAAGATGCTTTTCTTGCGCTGATTACTTAGTGCTGACAGCTAAGGATGTGCTGCCAAGAAGATTTTGATTAATATAAAACATCCAGTGCTTCCTTCCTTCCTTAACTGTCTATCTCAGTACTATTATACTTTGAGAAAGGTTTTAAAAATCAAGCATGAATACAGTTGCCAAAATCTTTTTAGGAAAGGTTGACAATCTTCTCGCTTAGGGAGAAGTTTAATGAATGATGAAACAGTTCATAAAAGATAAACTGGTATACTGGGAAGATGCTGAAATCAAATGCCAAGCTGTAAAACAATGCAAACATGAAGGAAGTTAAACAAGGATGAGAAGGTAAGCGAGACTGCTTGTTCATTTTTTCATATTCACCAATGAACCACAATTTAAACACTTCTGAAAACAAATCCTACTGCAAACACTGGACATGACCACTACCACCCATTCATTTGCTGAGATGAATCTCAAATAGTCTTAAATGCAATGACACTTACCTGGAGACATAAAGTGAGAGGAACAAAATATTCTTTCACCATATTCTTTCTTTCAACACCAGTTTTGCCATAGGGAACACCAAGATCAATCTTCCTTCTGCTGCAACCAGAAGCACACCCAGCAGCAGCCCACAGGCTGCCAAGCCTCGCTCAGCCTTAGAACCTGCAGGCAGTTGGAAGGCAAACACATTGCCTTTCCCAAATCCTTTTCAGTAATAATGAAGGAGGTGTTATGATGCATGCAGTTAAATAACAAATAAAAATGTTGGTGTGCAAGCCATGATAGAGGCAATCAGTCTCTAGGTACGCAGCTGGCACAGATGAAGTATAATCTACGGACTATTTCAGTTTTCCACTCTCATTTCTAGTAAACTGGTAGAGTCAACATGTAATCTCTCACTGTAGCAACATGGCTGATGTATGCCTTATGAGTTTAGGCAGAAGCACCTTGACTCTCATTTGTGAGTCTGCTTAAAGATCCATTCTCATCAGGGATGAGCATTTCTTACAGTCTCATCCTCTAAAGTTACTGAAGTCCCAGACAAATTCCCCATACAGCAGCCGCACTGCTAAAGCTGCATTTCTCACAGTTCCTTTACAGAGGGCTCTCAGTTTTGATTACTGCCTTGCCGGCTCATCACTTAGGCTTCTCCCAGCCCCACCTCTCCGTGTGTTCCCATCTGGAGGCAGAGACAAGTCTGTCCAGGATGGGTGGAACAGCCATCAGCCTACAGACAAGCCCACATTCACATTCTCCTACACTGATGTTTCTGAAGTTCAAAATGAGGGGTTTAAAGCCTCTGTGATCTTCCAGAAGAAAACACAACAGGATCAAACCCAGGGAATCCCGGGTCAGAGATCAGTTCCAGCGCTCCAAAGGTTAAGAGGACATTATTAGCTACACCATGAAGGAATTGCTGTTTTACAAGTGCAAAATTGCCCTGCATAGCTGTAGTTGTTCACAATCTTTAGCATATGAGTAAGAAAAATTATCACCTCACTATCAGACTACAACTGGGGACTATAAAAAGTAAAACCATGAGGAAAAAACACACCCATGGCAATTTGATTTCAATTGCTATAGATGTGGCAAAGGAGAAGAACCAGAGCCCAGGACAGTAACACAGATAACAACAAGGATTCTCTTGAAATATCTGTGCTCATTAGTTAAAAACATTTGACATCACACACTTAAATCAGAGAGAAAATCTGTAGGTCTGCTCTTGCATCAGGACAGTATGCCCACAAACAGGTGAGATGTCTGCAATATCCGTACTCATTCAAGGGGAAAAGTAAGGGAACTGCTCGAGGTATGGTTGTTGCTGAGAGGGCAAAGAATCTAAAGGCAGGTCTTGAACCAAATCCTTGGAAGACAGGCACTACTTGGTTAAGTAACCTTAGGGACTCCAAAGACTTCTGCACTCATCCATCATTGTGGATTTTGCAGAAAACAGATTCTGAATGGATGAAGTGAAAATCAATGACTACAGTGCAGATGTTCAAGACAACGGAGCACAAAACTGACAAATGCACTGAAAAGATTGCAGTGAATGCTTAATCATTAAATACGTAGCTTTATGTACATCCAACTGAAGACAACTGGGTTCAAAAGCCCAGAGAATGCAACTCTGAACAAGACAACTTTCTCTAAATACAAATTTACCCAAACTACTTTCCCTACACCTACATCCTGCACAATAATTTATTAAAGATGACTGTATCTGCCACAACTTCAACTAAACAAACCCACTAAGATTTAGTCTTAAATACAAGATGCGCTGAACGAGCTCTGCATGAAACAGGCTTAAGTTACGTTGGTATGGAAAGTGCACCTTAATGCCATGTTCTCGTCTTACACTTCAGTTCCACTGCAGGTCTGTCCCCATTTCACACCAAACAGCTGAAGGATTCATGTCTCATTGCCAGACCTGGAATATGCAAGCACTGTACAGACAGAAGGTTTAGATGACCATCTCCAAAAGCCTATTGAGATATCAGTGCTTTGGTGATAATGCTTGTGGAAGATGACTGATGGCACCAATTGATGAAATGAAGGAAGCCAAATGCCTTAAATGGAACTAAAGCAATCGATCTACAAATGCACCTATCATCTTTCTGAAGACATCAAGAGAATCCAAACAACCTTTCTTCTTCTTTCTTCTTCTTCTTCGTTTGTTTTTTTTTTTTTTTTTTGCAGTGGATCAACTGGAAAAGGTTACTGTAATTAAGGCACCTTAATTATTAAGTACACCTTATTTTTTATTTAAGAAACCTCAGAAGACAGCTTCCCCATCTCCCAAGTGAAAGCAGCTTCTGAGCCATCAGCAAGTCACCCACAGCTCCTCATTTACTGAGGTCAGTTTAAGCCAAACCTCCCAAAACTAAACAAAGAAAACACAAAACCACTCCTCACAATACCACGCTGGAAGGTATTTTCCTATGTCTAGCTCAGGAATGCTATTCAGAGTCTGCTCTGCATTTTCTCAAGCTTTTAAACATCCTCTGTTAGGTGTGACAAAATGAGGAGACCCACTACCAGAATAGAAGTTTTCATATCAAACAACTCTTTATTTTTAATCAGTTAGTTGTGTATGTGAGGGCTATAAGCTGTCCCCTTTTTCTCCACAAATACCCAGTCCTGGGAGTCAGTTCTTGCCATGATGCTCCCACATCTTGTCCAGCACTTCACATGAATGCTTTACACCCAAATACAGCACAGTCGGCAGTACTCTCCCTACTAAACATGAGTCCAAAGGAGCACACGGATGCTCACTATCACCCCATTCCCAGCCTGTTCTGCCCAAGGAACGCTTTATTTGACGAATTTCCAAAACTCAGAACACTACGCCTGGATAAGAAAGGTTATTTTTCCTCACTTACTGAATGACAGGTTCACAGAGTTTTCCTTTATACTAAAAGAGGGGTGGTTCAGGTTAGATGTGAGGAAGAAATCCTTCACCCAGAGCTGTGGGTGCCAGAGGATCCCAGAGGAGCCCGAGGCCACGGAGGAGCCGTGGGCAGCCCGTGGCAGGGCAGCCGTCACAGGGCAGGGCTGGGGCTGTGAGGTCCCCTCCAACCTAAGCTCTTCTACAAACAAACGGAACAATTTGAGGGAAAAAAAAAAGAAAAAAAAAGAAAAAAAAAGAAAAAAGCGATTTCGATCCAACTCTTGAAATCGTACTGGAGAACGATGACAGTGCAGAAACAGACCGACATCGCTCTGCAGGCAGACGCTCCATGGAAGCGCTACAGCTAAACCCGCTCAGCGTCGACACGTAAATGAACGTACGATCAACCGCTCCCCGTGCGACGTTCGTAAGGCAGCCGCGCCACTCGAGAACCCGCGGAGCTCACGAGCCATCGGCCCCGCCGCCCCGAGACTCAAAGTTCCTCGAAGCGCGCGGACCGGCCGCCCGCCGCCCTTTAGAGCTGCCCCCCGCCCGCCGCCGTTCCCGCAGCGCTCCCCGGCACGGCGCTGGGCCGCGACGGCCCCGACCGCCACGCGGAGCCCGGAGCGCCCGCGCTGCCGCGCCCTCACCTTGTCCGAGTCCAGGTCGGGGTCGGCCTGGCAGAGACGGAAGAGGAAGGACTTGGGGTCCCTGCAGAGCGTCTGCCGGGTGGTCAGGAAGCAGGTGCCCCCCACGTTCAGCCGCACCCACTTGCCGGGCACGGCGCCTGGGGGCGGCGCCGAGCTGCACCGGCGGCAGGGCCCGCCCGGGCCGAGGCCGCCGATCGGGGCGACCGAGAAATCGCAGTGGTTCTCCGCCGCCATCCTCACCGCCGGAAGAGTCCGCCCCGCCTACGGCTCGGCGGGCGCGCCTCCCCCGGAAGCGTCCACCTCGGCACGCTCCGCTTACCGCCCGGCCGCGAGGCGAGGCCCGCGCGCTCCCGCCCGCCGGCACGCGGCTCTTTCCCCCCACTCCTCCGCCCCACCGCGCCGTTCCGCACCGCCCGGCTCTTGGATCGCGGCGCCCCCCCACCGAGCGCCGCCGCCGGAGCGCCGCGCAGCCCCCGCCCCTTCCCGTGACGCGGCGCTGCGGAAGGAGCAGGCGGAGGCCGGGCCAGGACCCTACATGCCTTTATTACAGACTACCGAGCATAAGTGAAATCCATCATCCGGTCACTAGCTACACATCTACAGCACAGAGATCTGTCGAAAGGAGTATAAGCGGTTATTAAATTATGAGATATGATTAAATCATCGACCAATAGAAAATTTATATAATAAAGCCAGAAAAAAAGGTGTAAAATATAGTTTACAATAATTATTCACATTCCAGGCTGTACATCAATACATACAACACCATGGCCCCGAACATGAATTCAATCCAAATAATTCATATATTAGAATTTAAATAACACAGACTGAACTAGAGGCCAACAAAAGCCAGCAAATAACCTTAGAAGAATAAAAATACAAAAGTGTGTATCATATCATTGCATTATTTGCTTCTGTTCTCGTAAGTTCTTGGGGGACGGGGGATTGTTTTGTGCGAGTTCTTGGTTTTTTTTCCTTTATCTGTACATCACAGTTACAGCTACAAACCAGGTAGAGAATATTACACACAACTGACCGTCAACAACCTGAAGAACAGCTTAGTGTACAACTATCCAGACAGATTATGGTTCCTGGTTCCTATTCTTTTGTCAGATACAGTAATTACAAGTTCTGCCACAATTTAGAACTGCCACATCCAGTTAGTACATGGTCGTTGGGAGCTTTGTCAAATCACAGCCGCCTGCATTCCCTGCCATGCCAACAGGCAGACCGAGTCCTTGGGTGCTCATCACTTCTCCAATTATTTGCTGTCTGAAAGTAACTTAAAGAGGAAACATTTCTGACTTTATCCACCTTTAACTGAAAGCACGCCAATCTGGAACGGCGAGCTATTAGTTTGTAAACTCACTCATCAACTCACAGACAATTTGCGTCACGAAGCTCTGCAGGAGCGCTTCCTTCCACTTCGTTAATGTTTGCATAAAGCATTACAGGCATTCAGCAAAACTTCAGATATAAATATCACACCTATTCACATAACTCCATATAGCAGAAAGGATCAGAATCCACACACCATATCTTTAGGCAACTACCACCACACAAGCCACCTCCTCAACAGAGTGCTAAAATCAATTTTTTTGGGGCCAAAATGGTATCAAGCACATTAAAGCAAGCACCTTGTCCTGAGGAAGCAGATTAGAATCATCACACCTTTGATTCAGCCTACAGAGCTTCTCCTCCCCCCCAGGATTAACTATAGCAGATACTTCACAAATAAATCGGACTGGAAAAAATAAGCAGACCACAGTCCTACCTGATACTGATGTGTTCAGCATTAGCACTTAGCAAATTAAATATTAATAACTGACATCAGCCTGTTCACAATGCCTCAACGTCACACGTGAAGCAAGTCTTCCATAGTATAAATCCTTTCCAAAACCAGACGTTAAGGCAATGGGAACAAAGCCATGTCTTAGTTTATCACAGCAACGCCAAACTTTGTGCGGTTGGGCCGGGAGCTGGATAGAATTATGGAACTCAGGAATCCTTCCCAGAAGTAGTACTTCAGCTTTAAGCTCCACCCAACAGAAAAGAGGCTATGAACACATCCCTGAAGTTCAAATCCCAAGCAAAACAAATTAAAACATTATTAACCAGTAGCTTCATAAATGGTCGTTATTCAAAATGCAAAACTAGGTTTTCTGTAGGTTTGTAAGAAGGATTCTGAAGCCTTCAAGTGTCCAGCAACCCATCTCTGTACTCTGAAAGACCTTGGATAAAGAGCAGAGAAATCACCTGGCTTATCTGCAGCTCTGGCCAATCTCCCTCGCACCTTTCATTCTGTGAACTCCCATGAAACACAAGAGCCATCCTTGAGACAAGATTTGAAACTGCCCTGCTTCAGTATACATATCTAAAACAGGAACTGGCCCTTCATTGTATGCAGCACATTCCAGCACATATGCAAGTGAACAAACTGGTAAAGCATACTTCAATCTCCATGGTTGCTTTTATCTTTCAAAACTATAGGTTTCACTTAAAAGCAGAGGCTGAGAAATACTTGATTTGGAACACTGAAGTTCTAAGGGTAGAGATAGACGCCCAGGAGAGGCGCAGTTTCCTAATGACAATGCTGTCCATCAGGGACACAAAAATGCAGACAGCCATCTTATAGCCTAATTTTGCAGCTTAGTGATAACAGTATTTCTTTGGCTGAAAGGTTTTGGTAGGCGGGAATGAGGGATACTGATAGAGGATTTTCAAGCTATGAAAAAGATAAGTTTTTAAACAGCGAAATGACTGCATGCCTGATCAGTACAGAACACTTGTTGAAGCATTCCCACATTTCCAGCTAGTCATTTAAAGTAAAAAGGCCAAGGGCAACCCCAATCTAGCTCTTACTGAAGCTATGGATTTTGCTTAATTAGCAGAATAACTTTGCCAGACTTTTTGTATGAGCTTCATCACAAAGAACAGAAGTGACACAATAAAGCTCCATCACTGCCAGACTCGCTTGCTTGAAGTCTACATCTGTATGCTTAAACCCAAAGCTTTAGGGCTGTCTCGAGTGGACCCAGGGCATAGCTGGAATTTGACAGCTGCAGAATGACTGCACGACTAAATTCACAACAGCATCTTGCTTAAGATAGCTAATAAAGGATTAATCACAGGCACAGATGGAAAGTATACTGTGCCATTCAAATTTCAGCAGCAAGGAGCGTGCTTTATGAGGCAAAATTCCTTACGATGCAAATGGAACAGTTCTGTTTTTCTCATCACAGCCATTTCTGCAGGACACCTTTGCTTCCTCGCTGCCATGCACTGTAAGCTACTGATTTCCTTCTGTCACACACACATACACGGTGGGCTAACAGAAGACAAGGATATATCTCCTCCAAAGGAAAAGGGCACTGCACTCTCTCCTTGGAAAGGCTGAAGATGCTGGAAGAACTGAACTGTCACCTAATTCAACCATGTAACATCATTTTTTGGTTGGCTTTTTTCTTTTCTTTCCTCAAAAAGGATGAATAATCTCTCTTAACAGAAAACCTCTCAATTAGGTATTTTCTGAGTCTGATAAGCCGCTGCTTTTAAAACATTCCTTTCAGAACACTATAGCACATTTGTCTTTTTAACATTGCAGTGGAATATTTATTTGATAGAAGGAAACACATCATAGAGACCTCAATATGCACAAAGATGGGATGTGTAGACGGTGAATAAATAGGTGTGATGTTTATACCACTTTCAAAACAAGGAAGGAATGCCTTTGTTCAGCCCTATCATCCCTCTGCAAGGTTCAGGAACGCAGACGCTGGAAATACCATTAGGGAAGTTGTTTTTAGCATATTAAGTCTTTGTAACACTACAGGAAATGTTTGACCACAAAGAAGCCTTTTACTGAAAAGGATAAAAGGAGATTGATATAAAAACCCCATTTTATAGATATGCCTCAAGTACCATATGTTTTTTCCCCGTTGCATCAACATTGTTATTTTTAAACCAGATTACAGTATGGATCTAATTTCTGGAAAACAACTGAGCAAAATAAAAGTTTTTAAAAGGTCTTAAATATTTGGCCAAAGACTGAAAATAGGACTGTTTGTACACTTCATTATGCAATGAAACAAACAAAAATCAAATCAATTGTACAAAGCTTTCACACTTTCTTCTCTATCCAGGTAAATAGGTTGGCCCCACTAAAATGCACAAAACATGCACACCCTGCAAAGAAAGCTTCTAGCCCTCATCTCCCGGAAAGGAGAAAAACTACTTACTACTTCAATAGTAATGTTGTTTTTTTCCTCCATACTAACTATTTAATTTTTTAGTTAGTATTAGTTAAAAGCATGCTGCTAAGTTTGTCTCTTGATTAAACACACGATTCATATTAAAATTTAAACTGAACGTTTAAAACTTTATATGCTTCAGAAGCCAACATTTCAATTTTAGAAAAAATTTCAGTGCCATGTTCAGCATTTTATTCTCACAATCTCTATCATTGGAGCCCATCTGCCAGATACATACATCTGATTCATTCACATAATTATTTAAGTACCACGTAAATCCTGCAACCAGAACTATATTAGGAATTACACAAGGGTGCAACTGACCTGGCTACAAAATGTCATACACCAGTAAGCTCAGGGACTGTGAGGAAAGGAAAAGGGGGAGAAAAAAAAGTGGTGCTTAGGAGAGGCATATAAAAGCTCCCTGATGAAATACAGATCAATGATAATGTGAAAGTCACAGAAAACTCCAGCCCCATAAAACGCAAGGCTGGTACATGATTCAGGGTGTGTGTGCGTGTGGATTGGTTTTAACTCATCTTAAGTGTAGCTGGTAATGCAATGTCTATCCACTAGTCTGCTGCAGAAATTGAGTTGAAGTGCACAAAAGCAAGATCTTCACTGCAATGATACGCATGTGGAAGCCTCAACAGAAGCACAAAGAGCGAGCAAAGCGACCCTGAATTCCATTCGGTTTTTGCCTTTTTTTTTTTTTTCCTTTTTTCTTTTTTAAAAACATTTCAGACATATGCTTCCCCTTGAGATGGTAATAGATGGGTTGGAAAGATTCCTCTGATCAGCTGCACATCAAGTTCTAGCAGCAAGAAGAGAAACTGGGAGATTTTGGATGAGCTTTACTATTTAGCAGCATTCTGGTGGTATCTGTGCCGCCACACTTCTTGTATCTTTTTGCACCATTTATGAGCATTCCCACTCGGGTCCATCAGGTAGTACGTCCTGTTTGGCTATAAATGAACAACACTTTAGTGAGCATTCCAAGCACAGTTAAACCAAAAAGCAGTAATTCATTCCGCACCTATCAATGAAATCATTATTCAGAATCAGTCTGCAACCTTCCCAAAAACTTAAATTCAAATACAATTATATCACATTATATAGCCCTGAATAATTGTAGACCTGTCATCTCAGAATTAAGCAAGCAGTCATATCAACTGTCAATATACTGTTGGCCTATTCCTTCCAAACCACTCTAAATAAGCCATGATGGTTTTCAAAAGTCCTTGAGAACTTCCTTCAAATACAAAAATAATTTAAATTTTACCTAATCTGGAATTAAACAAACTTATTTTTGTGGGAAGATGCTTCTCAGGTTCCTTTTGTGTGTGGAAGATGGGTTTTTGTTTTAGTTTTTAAGCTATGGCTAGTAATTAATGTTAACAAGTAATCTCTGCAGTCAACATCTGTGTTTAAGAATTACTCGTGTATCTCCACAAAATATTTCATCACTAACAAACTGCACTAACGTTACTGGGCATTTATTGTAACTTAGAAAGAAATTCAAGTAACTTACTGTGTGAACAAAAAATGTCTTAAAATTCTTGGCTTCTGGCCGCAACTCCAAAGACCAGGGGATTTCTCCTTTTAGAACTTTGTTGACAGGATCCACGTAATACAAGTGGGGCCCTTCTGTGAGGAGCAATTGGCGCCGACGTGCAAACAATCCCTAGCAGGAAAAGCAGCAGCACAAAAAAGCATTAATAGAAAAAATAAATTTATAGATCTCTGAATTTGACAGAACAGATAACATTAAAACAGGTCCATAACATGCTTGAATTTGCAAGAGTTTTGATTTGTTTCATTAGTGCTTTACCTAGTTGACTTTATTCTTTCTCATGGAGGCTACAGTGCATTAATACTACAAGGTGAAACACAAGTGCTATTTTGAGAAAGCATTTTCATGTTCTGTTAGAACTCCATAAATCTAGCTGTACAGAATGAAGCAGAGTTTCTTTATCAGAGATCCTGGCACACAACTCCAGCAGGGACTTTCCTGACAAAATCAGAAACAAACAGGGAAGAACTTACCTGAAAGACAACCTCCATTCCTGGAAAGCTGACACAGGCTACCAATGTTCCTTTGTACCATGTTTAAGTTAACACTTACAGTAGTTCTAATGCCACCTTTATCTCTCTCAGGATATATAGAAACTATCCAGGTCCAGGAAATAACACAGCCAAGAACAATGAGCTTGTATTTTTATCTTCTGCATTCACAGGCAGATATGCATTAAGACAATTTTGTAATGGACTGTATCTGACTGGTAGGAGGGGGTAGAACGAAAATTCACTGCAGTCTCAATGTGAAAGCATCAACAGCACATTTACTTTTAGCATTTTGCAAAAACTGAAAGGACACCACAAAAAGAGAAAATATTACATTTTAAAAAATAAACAAAATGATTTGACAAGGTTAAACAAGTAAACAGGTTCTAAAACAGATTCCTCATCTTTGTTGTGAACGTGCAAGAATGTGACAACTGATTCCTGTTATGGGGATTACGAAAAAGCTCTTACCTTCCTTTTGTCCACGGGGCCCATTTTTAGGATTAAGTTATTTTCTACAAACTGATGCCTTAAAAAGAATTAAAAAAAAAAAAAAAAAACCACTTACTCCAGAAGTAGTTTTTTCACAGAAACAGCTTTAATTATCGTTGCTACTATTATTACTAAGCAATTTCCCATTTCCCTCTCACAAGTGCTTTCCCTCCAAAAAGTCCCAAACAATTTCACTAGATGAACGTTGGCCTCTTCCTCATTTCACACCAAAAAGCTTTAATCTGGCATTAAAAAGTCATAAATGAGAAAATCTTATCAAGAGAGAAGAGAAATGCTAATGAGTACATTGTCTAGACAAGTTTTGGTTAGCTCAACAGGAAAGTACCATTACAAAATGTTATGCAAGTGGTAAGAAAGTAGAAATTTCTTCTAGCTATAGGACTCTGTAGAGGAAGAACTTTTTTGTATTGGTGTAGTGTTATTTCTATCTATTCTAAACTCACAACTTGAGAAACTAAGCTACTACTTTAAAAATAGAAATTAAGAAAAAAAAACTAGTGACATACTTTGCTTAAGGATGATGAACACTGATTTGTATTATGATAATTTTTCTTGATTGCTCACTGCAGTGCAACAAATGAGCTACATTCACACTTCTTACCAAGGATTTCCACCAGCTTGTTTTGCCAGAAGTAATCTCTTCTCATCTTCAGAAAACTGTAAGTCCAACTCAAAGGAATTATTGTCAAGATCATGAATATACTGTTCAATGTTGCCTCCTGATGTCTGTGGGGTACTTGTCTCTGGGACAGACAGTGAATGTGAAGAAGCAGAACCAGAAACTTGCATACAACCAAACTGACTGAGGAGATTGTCATACTGAAGAAAGAAAAGTGGGGAAAAAAAATTAAGAGTTGTGTACTGAAAAATTAGAGCTGCTTTTAAATTGAACACATTTTGGTTTTTGGGAAAAAAGGCAGCCTACTCTGTACAGAGTAACAGGCACATCTTCGCCACCCCCCAAAAATCCACAACACCTCAACACCAGAAGAGTATAGTTGGTCAAAAGTAATCAAAGACTTTCACCCCTCCACCCCCTCCAAACATTCATTCATCAGAAAAAAAAAAAATGTTGGCTATTTCAAATTCTGGCCAGCAACTGTTTGCTTTAATGAAAGCCTAGATAGCATCAGACTTGAATATATAGGTAGATATAGATGAACATACATTTCCATAACAGTCTTCATCATCCTCTGACATGGCAGGTAAGTACGCTGTAAGTTTCGGGGGTGTTTGAAGATGTAAGTTCTCCCACACGATGGATTCAAAGAAAGGGTGAGCCTTAAGAGGTCCATATCCTCCCATTTCTTCACAGCCTAATCTTTTGGTAGCATCTAGAACCTGAATAAATTACAGTGAAGTTAGCAGGCATAAAATAACGACAAGAAAGAGGCAAACATCATTCACATTTGCATAGCAACATATGAAAGCTTAAAATTAGTTGGTCTTACTGCCCTAGGCATACACGCATATGGAATATAAAGAGACTGCTTACAGTAAGATGTTTTGTCAGCACATCTTGTTAGCACAATTTTGCAATAAATCAGCTCACATAGCTAGCTAAATGATCACGTATTTAGGCCCCACAGAACTTTTTTTTTTTTTTTTTTAAGCTCTGTTTCTTCATAGAGATGGAATAAAACCAAGCAAACACACTGAGTATGTCTGATGGAGCATGGTTCATTGAAGTACAGGACACCACATTCTAATATATAACACATCTAAATATATAACATCATATTCTGGTGATGCAGAATAGCTCGAGAAGCCTGTAGCTGGTGCCAAACACCAACCTCTCAAGCATCCAAAACCAGCACAGTTCTCAGGATGTTGATGCATCCTGGAACTTACCAGTGAGGCAATGGCTTGGTCAAAAAAACTAGCTTGGACACAGGAACACACAGTAGTTGCCCTCACCATCAGTTACAAACAGCATAGCATTTTCTCCCTAATACTCTACACAATCTAATTTCAAGAGGCTTCCATCACACAAAATGTTCTCTGCATATTCAGTGCAGTGTCACTGCAGTATCTCAGTGATGAGACAACCATTTTTTCTTCCTCTGTCAAATATTCATGTGCAGAGTAAATCTTTGGTTGATTCTAAGACATTCATTAGCTGCTCTAAAATGCAGGGTAAATTGATGCACTTTTTTAGGAATATATGTTTCTACCAGCTTGTGTAGCTTGTGGTAGCCATGGTGATGAGACGGTTGGACTAGATGATCTTATAGGTCGTTTCCAACCTTGTAATTCTATGATTCTACCATGTATAGAATGCTGCTTTCAATTAAATGATACATTATGCAACTCACAATTAACTTGGGTACTATACAAACAAGTGTTTGAATCTTAAGTTGTGCTATGCATAGTTTGTAGAATCATTTGTTTCCACTTGACGGAGAGACATTGCCTTGCCCATACTTTGTAATTCAGACACAAAATACAAGTAATGGAGGTTGACTTTCAAAACATTCTCACACACATCTAATAATGCCCAGTTGTTCTTACTTGACAGCTTGCAACAGAATACATAGAACCATTAGGAAAACAGAACTGCATACTAAGCTGAATGATTCTAATGTAATCAAATCATTTAACAGCAACAAATATTTACCAATAGCTTTTCTACAAGGTCTTTTGCCTTGGGAAAAAATTTTTCTGGAAAGTCATATTCCAATTTTATTATCTTCTGGAATATCAGATACTCATTTCTGCAAAAGAAGAAAATATTTAGCTAGTTACTGGTTCTCCATGATTATTCTACCTTAACAATGCATGATCTGAACAAATATTACATGTGAGGGAAGTGTTAGAAGTTCCTATAAATCCCTCTCCTTACGTACCTTAGAATCAGTACTACAAGTATCTATGCTTCTGTAAGCATGAGATACTTGAAAAACAACAGAAATGTCATATGGCTCAATATGGGGGAGGTGCAGGATGCTTCCTCACGGAGGCATAGTTAACTTACAGTATAAACTACATTTGAAATCCTAGGATAAATTAAAGAATCTCTAAGGAACTAATCAATTTACCATCTTCATGATCTCAAAAAGGAAATAATCTACATTACATCAGTTAAAGCAGACATGATATCAACACTAGAAGTGCACCACGGAAAGTGGCACTTCAGAGTTGCTGATAAAGTTAAATATATTGACTTGATGTTGGCATTATGATTTACATAAGGAAGTAGTTTAAGGTCTCTTACCCAGCTCTGAATGGAGGCAATCCAGCTACAAGCTGATATATTATACAACCCAGAGCCCAGAGGTCAGAGCTTTGAAAGAAAGGAGAAACAAACATATAGCATGTTTTTTCTGCAAGTCTGTAAACCATGATTAAAAATCCTTAAGCTACTGCTACTTAAAAAGATAGTATGAACATGTCCAACAAGCCTCTTCAGCACGATTCCCACACTACTTTCACTTAACTTCTTGACAGGAGTAACCATCTCACAACAACTGACTACGAGCACAGGCACAAGACGGCTGCATCCTCAAGTGACATAATTAACAGGTATATAGAACAAAAAGGACGATTTAACCTCTACTGCAATTCCAAGACACATCCAACTTAATGCAGTACATGCTCCTCCAGATTAGAAATTCTTTCCTCTAAGTATCTCATGGGGGAAAAAAAACCACCACCAAAATATATGTTTTTAACCAGAAGCTTTCTTTCAGACAAACAAAAATGCAGACAATATGGCGCATGGGAGAAGAAAAGTCTTAAGCTTCAATATGCCTGAAAGCATATTTTAAAACTTACTTTACCTCAAAGGTAAACTATATAGAGAATTGATAAGACCTATAAATCCTCATGGAAGACTAGAAGAATACTAACCAAGGCTCAGAACTACTGAAAACCTTAAACACAGCTTCACAAAATACTGGAAGTTAATTCAAATACAAGTCCAAGACACCTAAATAGCCTTTCCCTCAGTGACATAACATGGCATTCTGTATCTTTCACAGGAATCACCATGCTAGAGCCATCTTATATGAGAAAAGAATGAAAGAATGACTTTGCATAATAAAGATATTGACAGAGAAAAGAAATTCAACTTCTCATTTCTCACTCCCTTCTCCTGACAACATCAAAGCCTGTAGGACTCAGATAAGATAAAATGAAAAAGCCAGCACTCAGATGAGAAGTAATACTTTCTGGAAAAAAAAAAAATTTCAAACTTCAACCATCTTCCTTCTTTGAAATACTAAGCTACACTTCCCATCCATCTCCCACTGGATGGCATACTGACAGAGTAAGCAAGGTTCTAAAATACAGTACAGTCCTCACCTTTTACAAGCAGATTTTTCTGTCAGCAGTTCTGGAGAAACATACTGTGCTGTCCCTACAAATGAATTTGCCCGTGCTATAAAGAAAATTGAAATAGTTAAGCAGAAGCATACTTGTGGAAAAACCAAATCCCTCCCACTCCATCCATAAAAAATTCAAAGGTAAACTAATGAAAACTATGCAATGCTTCAAGAAAAAAAAAAATACAAGGAAATTTCCTCTCTCTACCCAAGCAGAAAACCTGGAGGAAGACAATTCACTTTATCTCAGTGATATCTTCTTGGTTCAAGAAGCTAGACATTTATGGTACAAATTCTGCCACCACAAGCTTACTAAATCAGAGTACAAAATCACATTTACCCAATTTGGTGAATGAGCAACAGTTCTGCCTAAGGCTTTTTATTAGGCATAGTTTACAGTATCATTGATTCATAGCTTAATATTAGCCATTAGTGACACAGGAACTCCACAATCAAGTTTGAGTAACTTTGAAGGCCACTAGGGCTTCAGTATGCAGAAAGTAACAGCTTACTGTTTCAGCTGAGTCAAATTATTTATTTCAATATATTTCAGTGATTTGTTTCCTAGATAAGAGTTAAGCACATTCTCAAGTTACATTTTGATAAATACAATATACCCACATTTAGAAAGGAACGCTTCCTGCATTTATGTAGCTAGAAGCTGGACTTGATCTTTGCAGGTCTCTTCCAACTGAACTGCTCTCTATTTTGTGATACGTGACAAAATAAATAAAACATACCTTGTCTGCTATCTGCAGATAATACTTTTGCTGTTCCAAAGTCTGTTATTTGAATGTGCATATCTTCATTTAGTAAGATGTTCTCTGGCTTTAGGTCCCTGGAAAACACAAATTTTCATACTCAAAACAGCACAGAAATTAACATTGCAAAATAGTCTGGAGTCTCGCATGCACATCATCACAAATGATACAGATATTCTGTAAACATTGACTATTCCTTGACTTGCAGCTGACAACATGCAGAGTACTGCTAACAGATTTTGCAAAGTCCATTCGCTACCATTTTTCCTACAATATTTGGTAATGAATAGTTGAGCACAAAACTAAGCTACTGTGTACTTCACCTCTTCAGCAAAATGAATTCCCAAGCCATAAGCGAGGTTGTATCTGACAGACTGATATGGCAGTGAGATCATCAAGGCCTGCTTACTCACAGATAGGCAAAAAGTACAAAACTTCATTCAGCCAAACTGCAGCACATCCAGCCCCTACAGATTCTATTCCCAACTTCTTCACTGAAAAGCTTTAGGAAAATACTTTTTAAATAAAAATAAGAAAGTACTAATGCTATTATAATTATGATCAGCCAGCTTTTTGCCAAACACCACCACCTACTGTTCTACAAACAACTGATGGGTACCTACAGACACTAAAGCTCTGTTTTCCAAAACAAATTCTGTGACTCAAATACTCACACTTGCTTGAATATCGTACCAAACAGCTCTTATTTGCTTAATAAATTCACAGCAAAACATGCTTATCCAGAAATATAATTGCATCAGAACTGCAAACACTCCATTAAACACTTTCCTAAATTTCACTGTTTATCTACTTCTTGATAAACTTTGTGGAAATTGTTCACTCAATGAAAGCAGACACACTAATATTTACTTTTCTTGCAGATGTGTTACCCACTAACCTACACACAGCAGAATTTTAATTTGTTTTGGTACACAGACACAGGAAAAAAACTAAATTAACCAAAAAAGTCATCTGATTCTGGAGCTCAAGGCACGCAAGCTTTTGGGAACATTAGTTCTAGACCATAAAGTTCTCGTTTTCAAGCTAGAAAAGTTGATGTAGTAACAGATTTACTCTCCTCCTACCATTTACTTTGTGTAATTCTATTCATTATATAAACAACAGCACTAAGACTAGCAAAATGCTATTATATTCTTAATAGCTTTCCAAAAAATCTCCATTCAGTTAGACATCATGAATGTTTCTCGTGCATTAATTTTTGTATTACCTGTGAATAATTCCTTTCCCATGCAAATACTCCAGGGCTGATACAATTTCAGCAGTATAAAACCTGGTACAGGTCTCATCAAATGAGCCAATTTTGCGTATATACTTTAATAGCTCACCATTTTTAGCATAGCTAAGCCCAAAATCTGAATGTTAAGTTAAGGTCTAGCATTAAGATACAGTAAAACAACTCCCTCCATCCCCCCACACTCTTTATTCAAAATAAAATATTGAAAATATATAACGGGAAAGTGTAAGTAATTTGAAGCTTTATATAGTAGTAACCCAAAACAATCTGTAACTGTATGTACTAAAAATCTAGGATAAAGGTTCCAGTTTCTTAACACACCAAAGACCACACAGGAGGTTAACTCAGTAATTTTTCTAGATAGTCACCCAAATAATTAAATAACTATATAGAATTGCCTACAGAGAGAACCCCCCACTTATCATTCCACTTACTTGATTTATATCAAAAGCATGACTGAAACAAGTTGTATGGCAACCATCTAAGGTATTTTAAATACCTCAAGTTTATCTCATAATTCCTGTTGAACAATGTTTCAAAGGAAACAAAACCAAGGATTTTCATAACAAATTGTGTAGAAGTTTTAGAACTCAAAGGATACACAGCTTTTCATCATCCTGAAAGGTGAAGTAGAGCTTCACAAAAAAAGGATGATCCAGACGGGACATCACATCTCTCTCTCGTGTCACGTATGGCACTTTGTTTTCTTTTATGATATGACGCTTTTCTAGAATTTTAACTGAAAAAAAACAGAGTGAAAACACAGGAGATACAACCCAATCAAGTTCATTAAGTAATTTGTGGTTTGGTTGGAGGGGGGAGGGGGGTAATTGTTAGTTAGATTCATCACTAAAATGCTAATTGTTTTTTTGAATTGATACTTTGTAATCAGACAGCATTCATACAGTATTCTAAAAAGTTGCCATTAAGGAATTGATACTTACTGGCATATTCTCTAGAACTTGTCAATTCCCGAGCCAACACAACCTGTTGCCATAGAAGATAAAATGTACAATGAATACAGCATAACCATTCACTGAAGGCATACAGTAAACATTGCTTCTCATCTGCCAGTCTGTATTTAGACTACTGCTAGTCCAAAATAAACTGTCATAAATACAGTCAACAAAAGATGTAAGCATGTGCTCATCTCATGATGTCTTAACTCAAGAAATCAGTTATTACAGAGCACTAAAAAAATACGGCAACATACTCCTGATATCAAATTTTATGCACCTAGCAAAAGATACCTTGTAAATAGGGCCCTTCTTTAGGTCAATTATTCCAAAGTGAAAGGAGAGAGCAATGTTGAGAGAACACATTGCTCACTATCTCCTTTCCTCCAGACTACACAGACCTAACTCCCTCAGCTGTTCCTCCCAAGTCTCTAGCCCCTTCACCAGCTTTGTTTCTTTTCTCTGCACATGTCAAGCAAGACCATATCCTTCTTGTAGTGAGGGGCCAATAACAGAACACAATATTTGGGGTGTGATCCCACCAAAGGTGTATACAAGGGGACCATCACATTCACAGTCCTGCAGACTGTACTATTTCTGGTGCAGGCCAGGATGCTACTGGCCTTCTTGACGACCTACGCACTGTTGGCTCATGCTCAACCAGCTGTCCATCAGTACTGCCATGTCCTTTTCTGCTGGATAACTTTCCATCCACTCTTTCCCAGGCCTACACACTGCATGGGATGCAGAACCCAGCACCTACAACCACTGGATGTCATGTGAGTGGACTTGGCTCACCAACAGGCCATCTCGATTCCTCTGCACAGCCTCCCCATCCTGAAGATAATCAATGGTCCTGTCTAACTTGGTATTGTCTGCAAACTTATGCACACAGTTGAAGATACTTCTTGGCTAAGAATTCTCAAAGCTGAAGTTATACAGACTCCAAAGAGTAATTTCTCTTCCAGCCCTGTACTGTATCTTTTTTTTTTAAACCATAGCATTTCAGATGTATTGCCCACCTCCATACCAAGCAGCTTTGTACACTGGATTTAGTACTTTCCTCCTAGCATGAATTCATGGATATCTTTAGGTCCCTCCCTCATTGAACAAATCTGAGCAAACATCATATCCTCACTTTCTCCCATCTAATTTTCCATAAAAACACAATAACAAGGAAGAAATCCCACAGTGGTGCATATTAAAGTCATGTTTGTGTTATCAGGGGCCTTATCCACTCTTATAAGTAGTAATATTAACAATGAATGTAAATTCCATAAAATGGAATTAGACCAAATAGCTAAAATAAACAAAAACACTTTCAGCAACTATTCAAAAAATTCACAGATTATAAAATCATGTAAGTGGAAAACTCAGACAACAGCAAGGGAAAAAAAAGATACAGTTAAAACTTTCAAACTGGAGGAAAGTAAGATGAAGAAAGCCCCCACAGGTTATCAAAAAGCAGCTACTGCCAACATAATTGTCAGACTTAACGACCATGCCCAACCTTAAGCTTGACAAATGCTCGAGACAAATGCCAGAGATCAAGTCCACATTTAAGAACTGGTTTCAGCTGCACACTTCCACCAGCCCTACCTAAGGCACCAATGTTTATGGTAAGCAAAATTCCGCCTGTAAAATTAAAACCAGTAACACTACATACAGAGTCAGAGCCTGGATTAAGCCATGCAACTTTCTCTGTTCTACTGGGAACATGGTGCTAAGATGCAGGGAACAAAACACAGATAAAAATGTCTCACTAAAGCTGACTGAACAAGCATGTTCCAGCATGTCCAAGAGGGAATAACTCTGATATATTCTTTAGGGAAACCTGTGGATTCCAAACTATGCAGTAAAGTGCAAATTACCCTTGATGACTACCAGAGGCCTTCTTCCTAAATACCAGCACACTGTATAAGAAAAACAAAAAATGAAAACACTCCCATGCAACCACCCCAAAGAGACACAAAACAAAAGGTATACACAAATGGCTGATATGAAAAAGATAAAGAATATTACTCACTGGCTTTAAATGGGGCAACTACAAAAGCATCAAATGAAGTATTAATTGCTTTATGAGTTCTTTAAGACAATTACTTAAGCAATTCATTCTTGTGCAATGCCATGGATCCCAAAAGTAGGTTAAAGTCAATCTATTTAAGCCTGCTGAATACGAGGATAATAACTATGGCTCCTGAAGTCCTTAAGGGCCGTGACACTAAAGGCTGAGTAAAAATACCAAAGAAATATTGCTCTTACATTCTTTCCTAAGCATCTGGCCTTGGCTTTCGTCACAAACAGGATGTCGGGTAGAAGTTCTCCCCATGAAAGGCTCTTAGCCCAATTTCAAATTCTTGGTCATACCACTTTAACATAAGATGTTAAGCTGTCTAAAGCTTACATTAGAAAGCATTGCCTCCCAAAAATCTAAGCATCAAGTCATCAGAATACACAACTTCTGATCAATTGAAAAAAAGACTCGAAAAAAATCAGTGCTCCTATAACTTGAAGAGTAAGTGAGCAGGATATCTCTAGACTTACAAATTAGTAATCATCTGGGCACAGAATGTTGAAGTTTATCTAAGATACCTGGCAGACTAACACAAAACACCTGTTATAAAAAGTAAAATTACCGTTGAAAAAGATCCTTCACCCAGAATTTTCCCAAACTTAAAGTCATCAGGTCGTTTCTTTCGAGGCTGTGGAGGCTGCTGTCCTGTATGTTGTGGCAAGGAGTTTGAACTAGATCTTGATTCAGCTGCGGTGCCCTCCATGTTAGATCCGTGCCTGCTGCCACAGGTGGAAATGACAGATGGAGTGCTGGAATCTGCTTGGTTCCTCACCATTGATGGGGATGGACAGGAACATAACACCACACTAGACTGGATTGGAACAGCATCATACTGAAAAGAGAAATGAAACTATTAACCCACACCTTCAAATTATTATCTCATGCATCTGCACTCTGCGTTCCTTCCTGTTTGAAAGGACTATCATGAAGATGAATGTAAGTATTCATATATTTAACAAAATAAAAGCTGCCATTTCCAAAATAGACACTGCTTAGGTCACACTACAAACGTACACTTAGCTGTAAGTCTCAAAGTTTTAATTCAAGGCAGATATTTGAGACTCAAAAAAACCCCTCCACAAAGTGTCAAATTGTCAGGTACATTTCCCTAAGAACAACATCATTTTTAAAGTTTATTTATGATTGGTTATGGAGCCACCAGTTCATCTTAAGAAGTGGTAGTTTCCCTAAAACTTATAAAAGTAGTTAAGAGTTAATTAACACTTATATTCACCAGTAACATTCATTTATAGATAAATGCTACAATGAATCATAAATGAAAAAGTAAACCATGAGAACTTTAATAGGCAAAGGATGCATTTTACATGTATCACAGAGGTTTTTAATTGGAATCTCACTTCTTCTACAAGTATTATCTTTCATTAAGTGAGGGGAGGGTCAGGAGGGAGAGGGAAAACATAAGATGCACGCAAAAGGCAGATCAGATGGAGGATTCTAATTATCAGAAACACGTTTTCATTAAAAAAACCCAACAACCTCTGTTCTGACCCTTTAAAACAAAGGAGATTACAGTATTTTATCTCATACAGACTCCCCCATTCTCAGACATACAAACAGATGCAGCCCTGAAAACAGCAAATATGAAAACAGACATTCCAAATACCAATCCTTGTAACATACAAAGAAAATCATTATTTGGTACACTTTCATCAGCTTTTTGCAGTAAGACCAAGCAAACTAGTCAAGCTGGTTTCCCTTCCCATTGCTAATACACCTCCATTTGTCTGTCAAACATTTGCTTCAAGTGTTTTATATGAAATTGGCCAGAAACACAGATAACGAGAGTTCTGCTCAAGCTCCTCTGGCAAAAAATACTGAAATACAAAGCAGAGGGAATATTTAAGAATATTAATGCTGCAGCTCAACATGGATTCTCACTCTCAGCATTCAAACATACCGCCAGCAGAACAAAACAGTGACTTGATGAAGATCTCCTAACCTCAGAACAGCTGTACTGTACCAATCTGACCTAATCCGGGACCTTTCTCATCTTGCCAAAACAAGAACAAAGTCTCATAAATTTCAATTTGAGTCAGTTAGTTCTAGCAGAACCCACTTGAGAAGGGGACTGGACTTGCATCCAATCACTGCTTTAGGCTGAAGGCACCTGCTCCAAAATTAACTATTATTTACTGTTCTATGCAGAAGTACATTTAATTTATTCATTTAGTGGCATTCCATACATACATGAACATATTAGGCATCTAAAGTCAGACTACGGTAACAAAGTCAAACATAGAGAACTACAATTCTGTTTTGCTCATGCTCAATAACTTATCTAAATATAAACTACTGTCATTTGAAAGGTAACTATTATTGAACAACTACCATAAACACTAACTTCCAAGAAGCATTTTCTTTCCAAAATGCACACAACCTACTTGAACCACAGTCTCTACTCCTTCTTTGGGATATTTCTAAGGACTGGGATATTTCTTTGGGATATTTCTAACTAAGATGACAGGGCAAATCAGGATCAGACAGCAGTTTCTTAGAACTTGTTTGAGCTTTATGACCTAACAGTCTGGTAAGAAGCCTGTTGGTACACTCCATAAAGCTTCTGTGAGGACACAAGGATGTTAAATTTGCATGAAGACTTGGAGACTGATGGGAGCACCTTTATTGTTGTGAAAAGTTCACCAACTCCATCAGAGAACAGTGTATGACCTTCCTCAGAATTAATTACACAGCATTCTCATATTTGAAGAACAGGAAATCTATTGATGTTTTATTATTTTGTTTTATTGCAAACAACACAAACACATTAAAGTACAGGTGTGGTAGTACACTATTTCTTTTATGCCTTCTATATTGATATTTTAGCTGCACTTTCCCCATATTATCCAAGAATCAATGGTCACAAGTTATTTCTCTAACTTCCTTACAGCCCAATTGAATCACATTTCCTTCTGCTCTAAGGGCACCCCTGCATAAAGATTCACAGCAGCTGGAATTAAAACTAGACTGCACTCTTCTTTATAAAAACTGCAGCGATTGCCGAGCACAAAGATGACTGCTCAACAACTGACACGATGCAGATACAATAAATGGCTCTTTAATTGAAATACAGTAAAAAAACACATGTATATAACAGATTCTAGTATTAGGATTTAAATGAACTGACTCTGGTCAGCTCAGGCTATCCTAAAGCAACAAACAGTACAGAGGTAAAGAAGCAGCACTGGGAGATCTACAGCTGCCAACATCATTCTGAAGGAGGAAGAAAAACCCACAAACAACAAAAAGCACTGAAGAACATGGAGAAAACTGAGAGGAAAAAATAGGCATTGGATACAGTTTATTTACTTACAAGATTATCTGAAAACAAGTTACAATGAATGTCATGTATAGAAAAGTCCTGAGTGAAGAAGACAGACAGGAACATTGGATGTTTTAAGAAGAGAAGGTTATTTCCAGCCAGACTATAGCATCAGTTAGCTGTTTGACTTTCTCTAAGGAAAGTCAAGATTAACCTTGGAATTTCAGATTGTTAAATCTTTACTGACTAGTAACACAGTTAGTTTTATTCATTTGAAACAAGCGTATTTACTGTTCTTTTCCACTCCAGCCATACACAGTAGAACTACTAGAGAAGAAAACTTGAATCAGTGCAGGAAGCCCATCAGCTATCACTGTGTTTTCACTTTTGTACTTTCACTCCTCCCCCATTCTCCTCCCTATGAAAACTCAGCTACACACAAAGCTCCCAGCCAACTAAAAAGACTTCAACATTTTGGAATTCCTTTTGCAACTCAGCATTTTGACAACAGCATTTGCACTGCAACTCACAATACATCTACATACAAAGTAAGCATGAAATAGCCTGCTGCTCTAAAGCAGGTACAGCCATGACAACAATCTCACCTAGCTTTTTCCCACTGCAAGTTCTGCAGCACCACTTTGCTGATACAGTTGCGTCAACACCAACAGCAGTAAAAAAATACTCGTACAGACTGGGCCTTCTGGAGCTACCAGTACTTGACACTCCTGTCCTAAGTGACATGATGCCAATACCAAAGACAGGCAATATCTTTGTTATCATTGAAACACCACTTGTGAAAGTAAATAAATCTTGTTCCTCTTACAGAGAAAGACCATGAATAAGATCTTAACCTATAACTTTTCTGATACATAAAACTGCTGACTGTTCTCAATCTGTAGCTGCACTAATTCACATGGCAGCAGTAATCACAGAACAGCTTGGGTTGAAAGGACTTCAAAGATTCAGCTTCCTCTAACATAAATAAGGTTGGAACACACGAGGATAAGGCTGCCTGAAGTCCCATTCAACCTGGTCTCAAACACCTTCATGGATCACAAAAGCTTTTTTATCTACTTACCTAAAGAACTTTTTTTTTTTTTGAAACAGATCTTGCTACCGGAAAGTATTACACAATGAAATGAGCTCCTCACCTCAAGTGGTACATTTGTTTCAATTATAAACAATGCTGATGAGACTAAGACCCATAGGCACAACCTTCCTATGAATGCTCATCATAAATCATATCAGTCTGCTAAATGCAGATACTTGACTTTTATATATATATATAACACGTGAAATACAAAGTACTGTTCAGGAGAAGAAGTACAGGGTATATCCTAAGCAGAAGCTAGTTAATTATGGACATTGATTCTCAAAGCCCAAAAGTTTAAAGAGAAAGAATAGCCATATAGAAATAAAGACTGGGGGGAAAAGGGGGGAAGAGGAGTTGGGTGGGAACAAACAAGACATTCAGCAAAAAGGTACATCACTTACAGCAATCCACAGCTTTTGGTAAATCAGAAAACAGTTAAGATATTGCTTTTGCCTCCACTAAAAACATCACTACAAGTCAAAATACGATATAACTAATAAATAACAAGGAGAGACAGACAAAAAAGTCTAATATCTGAATATAAAGAACTCAGAAACCAACTAGGAGAAGCAAAGTCTTCTTGCCACTAATATTACATAAACATTAAGGACAAACCAAAACCAACCACTTTCAGGAGAAAAAAAATAATCAAGAGACTGAATACCTGGAGCAATATTAATTACCGGACTAGACTGAGCTCCTGTAATTTCTGTTTAATAAAGAGACCAACTGTCTTAGCCTTGTGGCTTCAGAGAGCACAGGACTACAAAAATTAGGATCACCTGCAACTCAACAGAAGTCATACTGCATGTAATTATTGAGCAGCCAGTGTCACAAGTATTAAGTCCAACCATGCTAAGTTCAGAGACTACTGGACAGAGAAGCCAGTACAAACACATATGCTCTACATCAGGAAAGTCTGCCTCATAAATTACCTGATTCAGAAAGCAACACAGCAGCAATCTAGGATGGCTATGAATTACATCTTTTCACTTGCAAATGAAGCCCGAGAGGCTTTTAAAACCTATATTACGCAGTGTAAGATTTCCTCCACAAGTGTCATGGCACCTCTTCGATTCACAGCCCTTACATCTCTACCAAACATAGCTCCTTAACACAAAGATCTATGAATCCAAGATTCAAAGTCCAAATTAAAACAGTCATCTTCAAATAAAAACAGGGAGCCCATCTATTTATCCCTTAATTGCACAGATAAAGTTTTTATTTCACATTGAAAGTGATTGCTTTCATCAGACAGATGGTTTGGAGTTTTACAGATAAGACCACTTATTTATCAATGCTGTGATTCTGCTAAATACAGAGTATGCTACACAGGTTTGGCTCGAAATGCCTATAAATTATTTTGAAGTTGTCATACAAGAATATAATTCTTAAATTGAAGCTTATTTCATATTGCTTAGAAATTAACCATTCAAAATCCAGATTATTCTATGGGTTTATTTGTAAAATACAAAGTGAAAAAACATGAACAGCTAGGCAGTTATATTTCTTTTCATGGCACATTGATATTTCAAAGGGTTGACAAGATGTAGCAACTGAATGCAACACAGATCTTGTATCTGAAAAACAGAGCAAGAAAGGGCAATTAACAGGCATTATACACTACTTTCCCACTGGCACTTCCCCCCTCGTCCCAAAAAGAAAATATTTACCTTCTCCAGGTTTTCCAATACCTATTTGTGACAGCCTCCACTGCAAAGGCTAGTGTGCAACACACCCCAGAGGGTCCAGCATATTCCATCAGGTCAGATACTTGGGTGGCTCTGAAGGTACATCCTCAAATTGTTCCTCAGAATTCCTAAAATGAGAATTCAGGCAAAAACATGGTAGCTCAGCAACAAGAAAAACGACTTAAGATACAAAGAAACACTGAATCAGAGTAACAAGTCTTACCTTTTAGTGCAGAGGACACAGAACAGGTAGCACTGTTTATTATACTCCAATTCCTTCCAGGAACAGCTTGCAGAGGGCATAGTGATTATCACGTGGTCCATATCAATAAGTTAAATCTTCAACATCAGCGTTCCTTTTGTATCCTCTCTATGCTGCTACACCAGAGTGACTGCCAGGAACGAAGGCAACCCAGAACAATAACAGACTGTGTGCTCTCAAACTACAGTGAACATCAATTGTTCTACCAAAACACCGTATCGCAGAATGCTTTGGGTTCGAAGGGACCTTTAAGATCATTAAGTTCCAAGCCCCTGCTCTAGGCAGGGACACCTCCCTCTACACCAGGTTGCTCACAGCCCAGCCCTGAACACTTCTGTGGAGGGGGCACCCACAACCTTGCTGGGTAACCCGATCCAGTATCTCACCACCCTCACAGTAAATAATTTCTTCCTGATATCTAGTCTAAATCTACCCTCTTCCAGTTTAAAATCCTTCTTCTTTTGCTACATGCCCTTATAAAAGTTCCTCATCTTCCTTGTAGGCCACTAAAAGCTCCCGCTGCAGCCTTCTCTTCTCCAGGCTGAAAAATCCCAGCTCTCTCAGCATCTCCTCATAGGGGAGGTGCTCCAGCCCTTTGATCATCGTCGTGGCCACTCCAACAGTTCAACCACCTGCTTGTGTTGGGGGCTCCAGAACTGGACACTACTGCTGCAGAGTAAGGGAGGAAAATCACCCCCTTCGACCTGATGGCCACACTTCTCATAATGCAACCCAAGATACGGTTGGCCTTCTGGGCTGTAAGCACACATCACTGGCTCACATCCTCCTCCTCAGGGCTGCTTTCAAGTCATTTTCTGCCCAACCTGTATCTGTGCTTGGAATTGCTCTTGCACTTGGTCTTGTTGAACTTCATAACACTGGCACGAGCTCATCTCTCAGGCCTGTCCAGGCCTCTCTGAATAGCATCCCTTCGCTCCAGCATGTCAACTGCACCACTCAGCTCAATGCCATCTGCAAACTTGCTGAGGATGCACTCAATCCCACTGTTCACATCGCCTACAAAGACATTAAATAACACCAGTCCCAGCGCCAATCCTTGAGGAATGCCACTCATCATTGGTCCCGCTCAGACACTGAGCCATTGACTGCAACTCTGAGCGAGGCCATCCAGCCAATTCCTTATCCAGCGAGCAGCCATTCCAACAAATCCATTTTTCTCCCATATGGTGACCAGGTTGTCATGCAGGGCAGTGTCAAACACTTTGCACAAGTCCAGGTGTTCTTCCTTCATCTGTTGACGCTGTACCTCAATCATTAAAGGCCTCTAAGTTTGTCAAGCATGACTTGCCCTTGGTGAAGCCATACTGATATCCTAAAGCCTATTTAGTCTCCAAACTTCTGTCAAGATGGACCAATGGACCAATCATACTTTCTGACAAGTGACCAACAGTGTACTCTATTAATCTACTTTAAAAAAGTGTGTAGATAGGAGAAACAATAACTGAACAATTTATGAAATTGTATTACAATAGCTTTCACTTATACATGCTTAGATGTTTGTCAATCAATTTAAATAATTTTAAAACATTTATTTCAAGGAATTAAAATACTTGCCTAAAGAAAAGCAGAAGCATTCACATGCCTTAAAAAATAAGTAGGCACTGTCAGATAAAATCTCATGACACAAAAATCAAACACAAAATGGGTCTCAGAGAACTCAGATCAAGCCAAGATATGGCAATAGTTCTGAGTATTCTACACAACCAGTAAATTGCTCATCCACAGAAATACGACACTTGTGGCCATATTATAAAAGTAAAACATCACAGAAATTTGGGGACATATGAAAACATGCAAGCTGAACACTCAGCTTGATAAAAGATTACTTATCTCCCCAATCAGGAAGGAATACCATTGGAGGGGGGCAGTTTGGAAAACAAACCTAGAAGCACGCTTCCACATTGTGAAATCTAGGGAAAAATGTCAAAGGCTTTAAAGAACCACATTCAACATTTATTTACTGAAAAAGAGTGGAATACATTTAGAGAAAACTAGCCATGGACTGGTGTACCATGGTTGGCAAACACTGTCTTCAATGACTTTAATAATTTATTAAATAGAAAAGAGCTCAAAGTGTGAAGTTAAAACACCTCATCAAAAATCTGATAAGGAAGGGATACCAAACTTTTATTTCAAAACAAAAACAGTATCATCTGCTTTTAGGTACTACACAAATCCATTTTTTAAGTAAGTGCCGAATTTGTTAGGCTTTTAAGAAACTGTGCTAGGTTACAAAGATGCCAAAGATACTTTGCCTGGACAACAGGATTTTTTTCCTACAGAAAAGCACTTTGAGAAATATGTAAGACAATCACTTCAAAACGCAGTGAACAATCCCAACGCCAAGTATTAATTACTTGTAGTAATAAAAAAAGCATTAAACACATACCATTATTATAGAAGATTAGTGTTTGGTGTTATGCTCTACAGAGATACATCAGCAATTGTTCAAACAGCATGTAAATATTAACAGAAAATTCAATATCCAGCTTATAGCCCCAAGAATTGTCCATCAGCTCCATCTGCCTTGACGAAACAGACTAGCAGTCAGCAAAATTATTTGTCTAAAGCCAACCAATCTGTCAAAACCTATATATTTTGATCAAGTTTGTTCTGAATGCTCATAAATGGCTACTGATAAATACATTTGAAAGAACAGTCTGAAAGTTTCCATTTCAATTACAACAGGAATCTTCCTACAGCTTAGTTTTGAAAAAGGATCTGAATACAAGTAATCCTATCTGAGGGGAAATTTTTTGATCTCAGAAGTTCTGAGTTCATCCATTGCTTAAGACATTGTTTTTTTATGAATAACCATGCAACATGCAACTTCTCAAAAGCAATGTAATATAAAGTGTGGGTTGTTTTTTGTTTCTTTTTCGTCATTTGAGCTGTTATGCCAACCACCTGATTAAACAAGTCTCTGACCTACCAACACACAGGTACGCTCATCTTCATGCAGCGTCGCTTGAGACCTCTCTAAAGCAGAAGGTGTGCATGTCCTGAAGCACTGTACAGAACCATTCCCCTCCCCTCCAAAACAAAGAAAATTCTAACAGGATGCAGTAACAAAGCAGCACTGTTTTAAAGAAAAGAGTAACAACTTTAAAAACTGATAATGCATTTCAAGATTAAAGATGGTAAGCGTTAGTGAAGTGGCAAGCTCAGAATAGGTAACTCTGCAAAGAGCTGCTCTACCTAAACTGGCCTGACCTCTGCAACAGCAGGAACAAAACCAAGAAAAGGAATTCACACAATGTAGCCTGCATGATGTATTAACAGCCTCAAAGAAAAAAAATACAATAATGTACAGGCAGCCTTGAGAGTACCTGTTATCCCAAAGATACAGTAACTATTTCAAGAACAAATGTATATAAGCCCTAGTTAAATCCCACATAATGCTACATTGCAATAACCTGTGAGAATGAGAGGAGCAACATTTTACAGGCCTTGTATTATTTTAAGACACAATTAGATTGCTTAAAACAACACAACCATCACTTCTACAGCAGGTTTTTGCCTCGTGCTTGAAGATATCCTCGGGAGTCGTATATCCATGTATGAATCAAGAGTAATTGTGAAGAATCAAATTAATTGATTTTTTTTCTTTGGTTTTCTGGATGCACATCCTCAGGAAGTTCACGGTATACAAAGAAGCATCTTTAAGTCTGGGAGGCATACCTTAGTGTTCATAGGAAAGCCATCCCAAAACATAAACAAAGCTCAGCTCTGACACTTTGCCTCCTTCATATTTCATCTGACCACCTACCAGCACACCTTTGCTTTCTGTAGCAGATCGACATCACAGTTTATCCATAAGTGAATAGAGAGGAAATTGCATTCACATAGCATCAGAAGTACAGTCGATAGACTAGAACCTGGAAGCACAAGGAATGCTTCCATACTGTCGGACTGGTTTGATTTTTCATTTGGAGAATAATGGTGTATTATCTACAAGATTGTCTCCACAGCAATGAGTTTATCACGTACACATGTCCCAAACATTACAGTTCATGCAAATGCCTTTTCCTAAATATAACGACCTTACAAATACTGTGCTATTTTCTGCCACTAATTTACAAGATTCCAATTCCAAGTTCAGGTAAGGATTAAAGGTAATGAAAGGATTTGTCAGAATCTGCATATCATCTATTTATCATCTATTTATTAAGGGGCAAAGACTATTGAAGACCATCCACCCAAACCCCTCTCTGCACCCCCAAGCCTCAAAACAGATCAGAAACAGGAAACCACAAAAATCTCTAAGAACCTGAAGTCAGCCTGTGGCCCAAACAGCTATAAGAGTAAACAAGCCACCAAGAATTCATTTCATGCAAACTGATCCAGCCCAGCTCACAAGAAGCCATCTGTAACAGCAAGAAATCTAGATCACATTCTGCACGAGCTGACAAAGCACCCCAATAAGGGGTGCTGTGCACCATGGATAAGGCTTGCTAATAAACACAAAAGAGCTTCCTGTAAAAGGTTCCTTGATAGCAGGGCTAGGATTTAGGAGGGAGAGACAGCAGTCATGAATGCAGAGTAGAGGAGTAGCCCTAGGGAAGTGGCAATATGTGGACAGAATGCACAAAGGCTGGACAGTGCAATCGAGAACTACGATGAATTCCCACAACTGCTAAAGAACTGAGTATCAAATTTAATACTTTCTTTTCAGAAGAATGTGCTAAGCAAGTTAATCCTTGCAATCTGCTGCTATAAGGGAATACAGAATATTTGCCAAGTGAAGCATTTATATATTTTTTCTTTTTAAAACACAGAAAAAGCAGCCTCAACCTCAGCGCTTCGTGCATGCTGTGATCAGTTCTTTCCCAGACCTTGGCAACTTTCCACAGGCTGACCTGCAAATAAGGTGTCAAAAAGGGAAGGATGGGAAGGAATTCAGTGCCCCCTGCCCACACATTTTTTTTTCAACTGCATATACATGATTTAACCTGGCAACATTTTTTCCTTTTCCCAGAAATATCACAGACAGCAATTCCTTGGTTTCGTACAAATTCTTTAGAAAGCTCCACTATGAGGAACGCAGGGGAGGATTTTATCTTCTAAACTGTTTTCTGAACAGTGTTTTGTTCTTCCCATATTGAAAAGTAACTTCTGACTCTGACTTTATCTGAGGCCATAAACATGCTAGCTTTACAGCAATTCAAGCAGCTTTTCTAAAAGAAAAATAGGTAAGATGCAAGTTCAGTGACAGAAAACGGATTTCAGAATTATTTTACATCTTCATCAATGAAATCTATTTCTATTACTTTGAAAATTCATTAGTTTTCTCAGCCTAAAACAGTGACTGCACTGGTTCTGTGTGGCAGAACTCCTGCCTGTACTTCAGCAATCAGCATCCCTTCCCAAGAGCTCCTTCAATGCTTACTTTCAGCTGATCAGCTTTACAGTAGTGTGATGAGCCCAAGGCTGCAGCGTTTCAGAAGGTTCAGCACAACCTACTTGCACAATTACAACAGCTTTATGAAACAGACACTGCTTCTAGCATTCTAAGACAGACCAAATTTCCCAAAGAATGTTTGGTTTAACAAAAAATGAACTAAACCAAACCTATCCACACACTGGATTTAGTTGATCATTGCTATTACCTACAGATTATCTCTGAACTGTCTCCTTCCCAACAGCTACCAACACTTCCTATATAAGGAAACAGTAATACCTACACAGTCACTCCTCTTTAGCATAACCTATTTATCATCTTTGAGCACTGTCTGTAATTCTCAACATCTATTTCTTTTATTATTTTCTACTCCTGCAACCTGCTTTGGTAAAAGATTCACAGAAAACTTACCCTAGTGAAAACTCTATGCATGAGTGATAAAGAATAGTTACAGACCTATGCTGAAAACCCAGGAGAAAATCATATTAAGTAGATAGGCTATAGGAAAAAAAGCCTTCAAACTTCTGAGTTTTTTAACTACAAATAATTAAAAACAGAAGTCTTACTATAGTCTAGTCCAATTCCTTGTGAAGATGCAGAACTTGATTAAGAAACCAGTTCTTTGAGAAATATAGCTCACATTAGTCCTATGAGGAGACAAAAACAACACGTTAACAGTTTTGTTCACACATCTGTGACTACAAGTACAGGTTTTATCAGGACAGATTCATTGGAGGAATGGAACTTGCACTGTAATGATTGCTAGGCCTTCCATTGAAGACACTCTTGAAATTAAAGCCATAAATTCTTCCAGACTTTCATTTCAAGAGGAAGAAAATTCATTTATAAAGAAGTCTCAAGATGCTTATAATGGCATGAACAGTACATAACTATGACCACACTGACACCTTCAACTAAAGCAGCACTAAAATTGCTTCCTGGTTAAAAA